TCTTGGGTCAGATGAAAGATAAATGGGTGCCACTGGGGCTCCCCCAGCCACTTGGTGCCAGCATTTCTCAGAGGGTGTGACATCTGAAGTGCTGTTTTTCCTTTTTTAATGTAAAAATTGGTCGGAGGTGATTTTGACTACTTTTTAATGCATGAGATTTAATTTCATAATTACACATTCAAAATCCCTATTTTTCTTTGGGCCTTCAGTGTTTTTGTTTTGTTTTGTTTTTAGTTTGGACAGGATTGCACTATGCAGTTTAGGCTGGCATTGAGCTCACTTTATAGCCCAGGCTGGTCTTGAACTTGCAGTGATCCTCCTGCCTCAGTCTCCCAAGTGCTGGGATTACAGGAGTGAGCCACCACACCTGGCTTGGGCTTTCAAGATTTTTTTTTTTTTTTTTTAATTTTTTTTTTTTGTCTTTTTTGTTTTTATCGGTACCGGGGATCGAACTCACGACTGCCTGCTTGCAAGGCAGGCGCTTATGCCGCTGAGCTAAATCCCCAGCCCGGCTTTCAAGATTTAACTGACAAGATGTTATTTTGTTTGTAAACCTAACAGATTTCGTCAAGAGAGTCTTGGGTGAGTGATTGATTTCATTAGAAAGTTGAGTTATACTCCTTTGAGAATTTATGTCGCTGTTGCAAATGGTATATTTTCCATATCAAACTAAAGTCCTTCATTATCAAAAATGGCTGTGGTTTAACCAAGAGGGACTCAGGGGTCTCCAGCTGAGACAGGGCCACCTCAAGGGTCAGTAAGGATAACGCCAAGGTGGACCAAAACCCGTCGCATGTAGTCAGATTCTTGAGTTTTTAATAACACTAAGAAAAAGGGAGGCATGTGGAGACTTGGCTTTGGGGACTGCCAGGGAGCCTGGCTCACTGTCGGAAAAATCAAGCATTGATCGTGGTTTTCTGGGAGCTCCATCTCCCTGGCTCCTCACAGAACGATGCTGGAAGCTCTTGGGTACAGTTGGTGGCCAGTGCTCACCTGAACAGGGAAGCAAGGCCGGTGCCCTCCGTGTGGGCCCGAGGGACCAGTCCTCACAGCCATCATTAATGGAGCACACACCAGACACCCGGGCTGCTCCTGCTTCCTGCCAGGAACGCATCGCCTGTTTTAAAGGTTTACAGAAGAAAGAAAACGAGATAGATCCAGCTGCCTGTTTACAGGAGAAGGCACACACACGTGTGCTTGTGTATGTACACACACACACACACACACACACACACAGAGCCAGGAAACTGTCAGACTAACCCACAAGAATACAATGAACAAGTCCCAGCAGCAGGGAGACTGAATTGAGCAAATGAGCCTGTTTCTTCTATAAAAGTGCTCAAGAATTATAAAGGACGAGAGTGCAGCTGACCTAGAAATTACGAGAACCCTGAGGATCCCCTCATGATTTTATTCATCCTCCCTTTTCTGTTTCCCATAAGTGTGCAGAAGTGATTGGGGGAAATACGGGTATTGATAGGCTATCTGATGACATTAAAAATCTCAACTGGTGTTTTAGGCATGATGGTATTGTTGTTTGGTTAAAAAAATCTTTTGAAATAGGAAGTGAAAATCTTTTGAAAATGAGAATTGGACCAAGAAGTGCCGGGGGAGTGTGTGTGAAAAAAGAATTAAGGAGTGTTACATCCCGTACCAACCCCCCATGAAGATGTAATCAGTGTGTACTACAAACATGCACTGATAAAAATGAACACGAAGCCTTTGGGGAGGATGGAGGCTATGTTTGGGATTTGCCTCCAATAATCTAGAAGGGTGCAGTGTAGGGGCCACGAATCTGGGGAGTTGTAGAAGCTGGGCATGTTGTACTCTGGATTTTCTTTTTTGTATTTTTTTAAAAAATGTCAATTATCTGACAACCTAAGCCCTCCCTAGTACTTGTCAGTTCTTTTTTTTTTTTTTTTTTTTTTTTGTCTTTTTCGTTTTTATCGGTACCGGGGATTGAACTCACGACCTCCTGCTTGCAAGGCAAGGTGCTTATGCCCCTGAGCTAAATCCCCAGCCCCTACTTGTCAGTTCTTATAAAAAAAATTGAACTCACAGATGTTTCCACGTACTATAAATACATACTAATAAAACTTTTAAGAAGTTAAAAAGGGATTTTAACCTCAAGTCATAAGTCTAAATAAATGTCTCGGCTGCTTATTTTAATGTAGAACCATGAGATGAATCATCTCAAACATTATGCATAATTAAAATACCAACTGAGCACAGGGCTTGCAGATAGAAATCACTCGTCTTGAAGGCTTACTTCTCAGGCGTTTCCGGCTTTACCCTTGGGACTGGCAGACACTGGCTCCCTAGGAGGCCTCTAACTGGGCCCCTACAGTCTTGGCAGTGATTCTTGGGGTTCCTATCTTAGCGGACCGAGGGTGCTTCGTGGCCAGCGAGGCCCTTGGCTGAGAGGCTGCTGGGCGCTTGCCCGGGACAGCCAGGCGACACCCAGAGTGCTCTTTGAAGTTGTTGTGGGAGTTCCCTCTTCGAAGTCCTAATTTATTAGTCATTACGTAATTTATTTTATTCTTGGAACTTGAAACTTCCCCTCCCAGGGTCCCTCACAGCTTTGATGCCTTTGGTTGCTTTTGCATTTCTTTGTGTTTAGTAAGATCCTTCAGGGACTTTCTGGCTGGCTATAAAGAACTTTCGATTTGAGGGGATTCTAAGTTTCCTAGGGCTCTACAAAAAAGACCATTCTTTTCTTTTTTTTTTCTGAGACAGGGTCTCACTATGCAGTTCAGGCTGGCTTTGAGCTCACTTTGTGGCCCAGGCTGGTCCCAAACTCACAACAATCCTCCTGCCTCAGCCTCTCAAGTGCTGGGATTACAGGTGAGTGCCAACGTGCCTGGCTAAAAAAGGTCATTCTAATAAAGCAATAAAGCACTCCAGTCCGGCACTCACAGATTCCCAGCTCACTAGTGGCCCTGTGTCCTGTTATTGAATCACTTTCGATCATAAGTGCAAATCAAATGGGAAGCAGCCCCAGGTATTATAAATTTTAAGGATAATCACTGATTTTTGAAGCGAGTCATACTTCTGTGCATTTAGATACATATTCCCTATTATCAATCACTACCAAAAACTTTGTAAACTGACAGTTTATTATGGCGTGGGAAAAGCCATGTGAGCTGGGCACATGGACAGTAGCAACAATTAATCAGAAATGAGTAAGGAGCTGGAGCTGGGGATTTAGCTCAGCGGCATAAGTACCTGCCTTACAAGCAGGGGGTCGTGAGTTCGATCCCCGGTACTGGAAAAAAGAAAAAGAAAAAAAAAAAAAAAAAAGAAATGAGTAAGGAGCTGAATCCCAAAGAAAACAAACACCAGAGCAACTTGGGTTAAAAAAAAAAGAATTTAAGAGAAAGAAACACGAGTGTGAATGGACGATTGCTGAGGAACAGGTTAGTGACACTCGGGGCTGGGGTTTGGGTTCTCTCTGTCTCTGTGCCTTCCCTCTGTGCTCCTTGGCCCTGCATTCCTCTTGGGAGTAATCCATAAGTAGATAGTGATTGGGTGTGTAATGGTTGATACACTTGTGTCAGCTTGAGAAGTTCAGAAGTTAACAGAGGGACCAGGCAGGGAGCCAGGATCCTTACTTTGTAAACATCCTCATCCTGTGCAAAGGAGGACAAGGAGATTTTGTGAGGGCTACACCTGCCCTGAAAGGGAGGGAGGTGGCCTGTGTACCTTATCAGGAAGGAAAGGGCTTGCTGCCCTGTTTTGTGCTCTCGCTGCTTTTGTTCTGGCTGCTGCCTTGAAGTGTTGCCCTGTGTCATGCCTCCCCGCCTTGGAGCCAGCTGATTTTGGACTGAAACCTCCACAAACAGTGAGCTAAATAAACCTTTCCTTCTTTCATTTTGAGTGTCAGATATTTTGTCTCAGCAATGAGAGAAAGTAACCAAGATAGGTGTGAAACACGCATTATGGAAGTGCCCATCTCATCTCAGGGGACTTGGCAGGCGAGGGCTGGGGCCTGAGGGTCTGTGTTTTAGTGAACTTCCAGGGACCAGCTTGCTGGCAGTTGCAGACTGCTGTTCAGGAAGCACTGCCCTGACTGCTGCTCATTCCTCTGGCCTTGGCCCTGCAGGCACCTAGCACTGGAGCCGGGCTGGAAGCTGGGTCCCCCTCAAGGGAGAGGGCTGTCCCCTCAGCTTCTCCTGGCAGCTTAGGTGGGATCAGTCTCCTTCAAGCAGGTCACCGGCTTCCTCTCTGCCCAGCTCGCCCTCTGCATGGCTCGTTGTTCCTTTTCCTGCCCTGTGCCTTTGGCTGTCTCACTAGCAGCCTGGCGTGTCACTCCAAGCCTGCCAGTGCCTGCTGCCACCTGTCCTGCAGTGTCCCCTGCCGGTGTCCCAGCCCTGTCCTTTTGCCTTTATTTCCCATCAAGGCCACCGAGACTACCTGGAAAGCCATGCGCAGCTCACACTTCCCCAACCCCAATCTTCTCATGTTATATCTAATTTCCTCCACATTGCATCTGCCACTGCCATGCAGTGCCCCCCGTGTGGGCTGTGTGACTCCTTCCTGCCTGCAGTGGCATCCTGAGCACAGCCGGTACCTGGTGAGGATGGCGGCTTATTTACATCCTTCCCTTCTCCTCTGAGTCTTGTGCTGTATTCATGTCGTTTTGGTTCGTCTTTCTGTGAGTTGTGGTCACATCCAAGTGCGTGTTCATCGGCACGTGTGGCCAGTTGTGCAAAACAGAGGTTTGCACTGCTTGTCCGACGGGAAGGCTCTGCGTCCTGGGGACTTCCCTGCCAGACCTCTGCCCCTGTAGCCCATCAGATGGCCCAGTCCACAGGGTTGGTGAGTTTGCAGCCTGTTTTCCCCTGGCAGGAAGATGGGTGGGTAGGCAAGAGGCTGGTGACCTCGGGGACCAGTGCGATCCGTCAGGCCTACTATCAAAAGGTGCTGTTTCTTTGTTAATTTTTTTTAAAAGATGAAAATCCTCACATTAAAGTACTGATTGGTCTGTTTTTCCGTCACAGGTTCCTCGCACTGACTCCATGGAGGGTTTATCATCTCATTTCTGTCCTGATTCTTGGGCGTGTCATTATGCAGATAATAAAAGATATGGTTTTGTCTCGGGAAAGAGGTAAGAAGACTCCATGTTGATGCATGGAATACTCGAGACTGAATTTCTGTGTGTGTGTGTGTGTGGTAGGGCTGTTGAACAGGTGCAAACTGCGATCCTAGAGGCACTGATGCTGCTGCTTGTAACATGAGCATTTGTATGACTGACCCTGTCGGTAGACACAGCTACTGCTACTGGGCAAACCCCCGGTGCGTGTTGGTTTCTTCCTCAGCTTTCAGTGCTGTGTTAAATACCGCTTTGATTTTTAAGTTCACAGTGACAGTAACAGGTATTTATTATATCTTACACAAGAAACTGGGCTATTGGAGAATATATTAGTTCTTACATGAACTGATTTTCTGCTTCAGTGAAAAAAAAAAAAACCCTAGTTAATGAAGGGCTTAAAAATAAATGATAGTGGGCTAGGAATTTAGCTCAGCGGCATAAGTGCCTGCATTGCAAGCGCGCAGTCATGAGTTAGATACCTGGTACAGATAAAAAAAAGATAGTAAAAAGTTTTAAATGGGCTAATGATATAAAGTGAATTAATTTTAAACATTAAATTTAAAAGTGAGAACGTTAGTTGTTTTAAAAATTTGAGGGTTTTTTTTTGCATGATTTACCTATATTGTATATTTGAGTCAAACTCTTCTGTGCTCTGCGAGGCTTCTTCTAGTAGTTGAGCTAATTTGTATAGGTGGGCAAAAATTTAAAAAAAAATAGGAAATTGTATGAATGATTTTTGGAAAGAGTATTTTAATTTACTGTTACCAGGTTTGTAGATGATTCCTTCCTGCTAGCTTTCTTGGAAGGGGAAAGAAATTCATATTTTGCCTGTTAACACATTCCTTGCCCCCATAGATTGAGGTTTTACTCTTGCTTTGAGATAGGGTCTCACTATGTAGCCCAGACTGGCCTTGAACTTGTGGTGATCTTCGGGCTTCAGCCTGCTGAGCCTGCATAGATTGTACTCTTGTGCTCACGTCCTCCCCTCCCTCTCCTCCTGTCCTCCCTCTGGCCTGTGCAGACACCCGATTCCCTCCTGGTCACCTCGGCTGGCACAGGCCATGACCCTGGCTGCTGACCAGTGTGTCAAGGCCAGCAGAGGCGGGATGCCACGTGCCTCAGGCTCTGCACAAGGACTGGCTGGCCAGGCACGGCTGGTCTCGTCTCTACCCTGGTCTCTACCCACAAAGCGGGGTCCATTTTCCTCAGGTGGACTGCAGGGTCCTTGCTAGGACCCCCTTGCATAGCCGCTTGGAAATGTTCTCAGCAGCCCCTGGGCTTGGCAGAGCAAGTTGCCCACAGAAGCAGCACAGCCTGTCTGTCTCCAGCTGCGTCAGAGGTGGCCCTCAGGTGGGCGCAGGTTCTGGGACAGACAGGCACAGCCAAGGGTGGGCAGCGGGGAGACCTGACCTCGGTGTGTGGCCAGGAGTGAGAAGCACACACGCAGGGCCCCCCTCACCCAGCCGTGGGGCTCCGGACCCGCCTCCGTCTGCAGCTTCCAGCTCCAGCACCGTCCGAGTAGCAAAGTGTCCGAGACATGGAGTAATTACCTTCCTCCTGCGGAGTGGGTCTAGATACATACCGCGGTCTCACCGTGTTTACTACCCTTTCCCCAGCCGTAGCCTATTCTGTCTTCACGGAGATTTCTTCTGCATAAATTGTGAAGATTCAGACCTTTTAAGATTTGAGGTGGCAGGGTTGAAAGAGTACCAGCCGGCCTCAGTTTCTACTCCCCTCCCCCTGCCCTATTCTGCTCCTGCCCTCCCCCTCACTCTCCCCCCTCCCCATCCCCCTTCCTCTCCTCTGTGTGTCCTCCCCGCTCCAGTCCCCTTCACTTCCTCTCTTCCTTCCTTTCCCTTCCTTTCTCCCTCTCCCTCCCTTTCCTTTCCCCCTCTTTCATTTCTAAGCCAGGGTCTCACATGCCCCCAGCTGGCCATGAGCTCCTAGCACTGTCCCTTCCTCAGCCTTTCTGGGCTTCCGGCATGCCCACCTCTAGTCCAGCTCTTGAGCCGGGCCATTCTCTGTCTTCTCCATAGGGAAGACATGCCATAGACTGCGTTAGTTTCTCATGACTGTGTAACAAACGACCACAAACTGGGTGGTTCTAAATGACAACTGTCTCCCTTAGCTCTGGAGACCGTTCATCCAAGTCAGAATCTGGGCCAAAATCGAGGTTGTGGGGGCTGCACCCCTCTGTGGGCTCCAGGAAGTGGTCTCTCTCTGTCCTCTCCCCACTTCTGCTGGGTGCTGCCTGGTGTCCCTTGGCTGTGGCCTCAACCCTGTACCCTGCCTTGGTGATTACACCCCTTCCCTCCTGTCCATGTTGCATCTCCCTAACCCTCCTTTCATCAGCGGATACTCGTGTGTTCACCTGAGCCCCAGCATCATCTCTATAACCTAGTCACATCTGTAGAGACTCATTTCCCACCTGGGGTGCCAGCCCTGGCACCAGGGATCACACCTGACCTGCTGGGTGAGGTGGTTCTGAACGCAGCATTTCCGGACAGGAAAAGAGAAAGGAAAACAGCCTCCTCACTGCACTAGCCAGAGCGCCGCAGTCTGTGGCCAGAGCAGCTCTGCTGCCTGCCATGTCCTGGAGAAACTGAGGACAGAGACCCTTTCACAGCCTGGCGCACAGCTGCCAGGAGGGGCTCCAGGTCACACCTGTGGGCTGCTCGGGCTGCTCCATGGCTTCCAGCAGAGCCAGCAGCTGCTCTCCAGATGCCGTGGCTCCTGTCGCAGCAGAAAGGGTGGGAGGACTGGGCTGGCAGGTTGGGGGCAGCTGTGCCTTCTTCCCAGCTATCAGCTGTGGCTGCCCACCTCTGTGGCTCCAGACAGCAAACTGCAGTGACTATAACTGTAATCTCCTGCTCCTCATTTTTAATGCTTCTACCAGATTTTCTAAAGTGCGCACTGTTATTAACTATTGGCACAGTTGGATGACAGAATTTGAACTTCTTAATTCTTTTATTTTATTTTTTTTGGAAGAGATAACCTTGTTATATAGCTCATGATGGGCTTGAACTCAGGGTGATTCTCCTGCCTCCGCCTCCCCAAGTGCTGAGATTATGGGTGTGAGCTGCCATATTTCCCCTTCCCCTAGGCCAAGTCATCAAGGATTAAAAAGTCAAGCTAAAAGCCAGGGGTGGTGGTTAGGCCTGAGCCTGAGCCTGACCTTAACCCTAACCTGTAACCCTAACTCTACTTCTAACCCCAATCCTCTCACCCAAACCCTAACCCTCCAGCCCTAACCTTAGTCCTCTGACCCTAACCCTGCATCCTTAACTGGGCTTTAACCACTTCTCCCTTGTTGCGATGAAGTAATCAGCCCCCTCCCACTCTCCTGGCCCCCAAGCTCTCTATAAGATCAGCTGCAACTGCCCTGTAGCTAGGAGGGGAACAGATGTCCCCTTGGTCCCACAACCCCGGAGACATTTGAAGATATCACCTCCTCATAGCTTCCCCTCTGTCATCTCCACTGTGCCCTTTTAACATACCGGGGATGGGAGCTGGGACCTAGCAGGCACCCAGCCAGGCTGGTGAGCACCCAGAAGCTGGGCTCTGTCACCTGCTGGGCGGCCTCAACTTTGACTTTGGCCTTTGGAAGTACTGCTCGAAGCCCCAGGATGGTGTTTGGCACGCCCTCTGCCCACCCTGCCTGTCTTCCTGTGCTCGGGCCTGGCTGTGGGACTGCACTAGACGTTTCTGCTCAGCCTGTCGTTGGCCAGACTTTCTCCTCCTCCTCGCCTGCTCACTGGCTCCTGCCTGGGCCGGAGACTGCAGAGAGCTGTCCTTCCTCCTCTGATGTCCCTGTGCCCTGCCCTCCTGCTGCACTCATTGCAGCAGCTCTTAGGAGTAGGACAGGTGAGCAGACAGATGTCCTGACACCTGCTTCCTCGCCTCTGCTCTGGAGTCTTTGGAGAAACGCAGTGTGCAGGGCCAGCGGACACTGCAGGAGCTGAGCTTTCCCTGTTCTTCTCCACTCTGAATGCACCGGGACGCGCACCTCCCTGGGTTCTTTGGCTTGCTTTTATAAGCTGCCTGACCCTGTAAAGGTTGAAGCAGCTTGTAAGGAGTGTCAGTGTAAGATTCTGACGGACAGAAGTCTAATCTAGTGGCCGTAACTGAGGGACGGATTTTCCCTGTGCTTACTGGCAGCCTAGACCAAGCTGATGAATTGCACAATCCTGGCTGCCCAAAGAATTAAAGCCAATGACTTTGAGAAGCTTTGTTTTTCTGGACATAAATGTTAAGAAGAATTTGTCACACAGATCTCTGGTAGAAGATACGGAAGAATTTAAAGGGCAACATCTTTGACCTTTAGTCTGAGGGAAAATGTAGAACTTTTCTGAGGATTATTTCTTTTTCTTCCTAATTCTCCTTCCTCTTCTTCCTTGTCCTCCTCGGCTTTTTTTCCCTTCCCTTTTATTTTGAGACAAGGTCTTACTGTGTAGTTCAGACTGGTCTGGAGCTCACCATGTAGCCCTGACTCAGGGTGATCCTCCTGCCTCAGTCTCCTCAGTGCTGAAATTGCAGACGTGCACTGTCCTACCCCACCTCATGATCATTTCTTATATTCTGCTTCCTTAAATCTGCTGAGAGTCTGACATCAAGACTTAGTCCAACAAAGATAATTGCTAGAGATTTTGGAAAGCAAAGAATGTATATTTTTTTGTTGATTTTATTTGCACCTAGATACAAGTTCACAACATCTAAAGAACAAGCAGGTACAAATATCCTTTTTCAGGTTATATCTGTATTTATTTTTTCTCTCTCTGTCTGTCTTTCTCTCTTGGTTTTTTGAGTCAGGATCAGGCTGGCCTTGAACTCATAGCAATCCTCCTGCCTCGGCCTCCTGAGTATTGGATTACACGTGGGCGTTCTAGTGCCTCCACATTCTCCTTTTTGTCAGCTGTGTGCCAAGACTGCCCTTCCAAGTCGCTTCTCATGCCCACCTTCTTGATGTTTCCTGTTGTCCCAGCCCTCTGGTGGCTATGCCTCTCAAGTAATTCCTGCACCGCTTGCTCTGGCAGTGAGGTCCCCATGGCAGGGAGCTCTCATTTTGCAGGTGCAGGGACCTTAGTACATGACTGTCCCCTCACGGCCCACAAGTGCACAGCCAGGGACACTCACTGTTGCTAACCTCTGGGAGCGTCCCACTCCCGGGCCTGGCTGCTTCCTCCTAGTCAAGAAGGCCTCAGGAGCTCAATGCCTCTGCTCCAGCTCATGTTTGCTTCTCCCTGTTGCAGGTGCCCAGCTGTGGAGAAGCCTCAGCGAAAGGTAGGGGACGTCACCATGGTGGGGCTGTCTGAGGGCGAGGCACGGCGGGAGGCCACTGGTGTGTGTCTGTGAGCACGTTTTGGTGACAAGGACCTGAGTCCTGTAGTCATCTATGAGAATAATTAGAGGAATACCCCGGACCTGAGGACAGGGGTGACAATGGAACTCCTGAAGGGAAATGGTTGGTACTTAGCTGCACTGTTGAGCATGGCTTTGTGTGAGGGTTTGGAGGTGAAGAGAGAAAGGCATTTCTCTCTGGGATTTTCTTCAACACTGTTTTGGAGGCATGAACAATGCAGCTGTGATGGGAGAACAGGGTCAGACTCATTTGGTCCTAGAACATCCTAGAATGTTCTAGAACAATGTTCTACAGGGTTCTGCATGCGGTCGGTCAGAGAACTTTGGATTGCAAAGACAAAACAAGGAGGGATGAGAGGTCCTTTGGTGTGAGCATGTATTGGACACTGATGAATCGCCTGACTCCTTGCCTCACCAGAGGGAAGTGCCACCTCTCCCGTTGGCCACCATCCACCTCGACGTCATGGTGCTGCTTCCAACTGAGGAGGAGAGGGTGGGGCTAGTAGATGAAGGGAGCGAGACTCACTTCACTGACTGGGTAGACAGGGAGCAGAAAAACGAGATTTTGAGGCTTTAAAGTCTACTAAAGTGAATATTTGTAGGAATTGGGTTAAAATAAACATTTTCCCTGAACAATATACAATAATACCTTAGTTGAGTCTGGAAGGCATGACAGCGAAGAAGCCATGGGAACCAGGACAAAATTTTCACCTCCACCAGTAGGGCGACCTGCCTCACACAACCAGAGCCGGAGGAGAGCAGCCAGCAGAGCGGAGCTGGGACGGGGCCCACCAGGGGCTCCAGCGAGGGGCTGCCGGGTGAGGGTCCTAAGCCTTCTCCGCCTGCGTTTCCCCTCGAGCAGGTGACAGAACAGAGGAAGTGTGGTGAAGGGACTGTTAGATCACAGGAACCAGTGGCCTTTGGAAAAGAGTTCTGCTCTTTGACATAAGACTCGGTTAGATTTATGGTCACTTTGGTCAGAACATTGTCCCCTGCTGTGCTTTGAATGTAAACCTTTATGCTTTTTGGTTTATTTTATTTTTGTTTTTGACACAAGGTCCCACTATGTAGCCCGGGCTTGCTTTGAACTTGCAGCAGTCCTCCTGCCTCAGCCTCCCGAGTACTGGGATGACAGGTGTGCACTACCGTGCCTGGCTCCCCGTGGCTCTTTTTCAGGCTTTGCGTGGCCAGCGGCTCCCTCCAGGTGGCTCAGTGCCTCTGTCCGCAGCATGAGTGGCCCGGAGTCCCCAGCACGGGGCAGACGTGCAGCTGCAGGCCAGTGCTTGTCTTTGGAGGAGGCTGGCTCTATGTACAGCCACTCCACCTCCAGCACAGGGTGTTGGTGGCTTTACCAGGGGCCCCGGAAATGCTGCGTCCTAAGGAGGAGGTGTGGTCACTTGCAGGCAGGTGTGCCCGTGCTGCTCATGGGCATGCACCCGAAGGGAGGGTGACTTTGAACTCACCACTCTAGACTTACCTGGCCCAGGCTGAAACAGCTGGCAGATTCGAGAGAGAGGATGTTAAAGCTGGGTCTGAATCTGGTGGCACCATCAACTGTGAGAATTGGAAAATTGAAATCCGATATCATCCACGAATCAGTGTACATATCTGGAAAATAGGTTTTTTCGGTGGCCGTTTTTTTGATGGGTTTTTTTGATGCAGGATCTCACGATAGAACCCAGGTTGGCCTCGAACTCATGGCAATCCTCCTGCCTCAGCTTCCTGAGTGTTGGGGATATAGACTTGTGTCACCCCGCCCAGCCAGTGGCTGAGTTCTGAGCAGGGTTCCTGCTTGATCTGCTTCTTTACAAACACCAGCTCCACTCGGTGAACAGGATTTATAGCAGAACCACATAAACCTCTCCTACGGTTCATTTCTAGTCCTGAATTGAAACTTGGGTCAGAGTATCATAAAAGCTTTTCATTTCTGCACAGAACTATGGCAGTCAATTGAATAAAATCCTCTGTTAACAAACAAGGAAGCATGCATGCACATTTTCCTGCGTATCTCCTATTTTATTTTATTTTATTTTTTGAGAGGGACTCACTAGGTAGCCCCGGCTGACTTTGAACTCACCACTCAGCAATCCTCCTGCCTCAGCCTCCTGAGTGCTGGCGTTACAGGTGTTCCTTACAAAGCCATACCTCCTTTTCCAAAAACAAAATTTTCAGTTTAGCCAGGTTTATTATTTTTTTTAAAGTAAATGTAAGGGAGATACTACTTACACTGAAAACCATTTAGAATTTTTTTACCTAGTTCCTTAATAATGTATTACAACCTGGAGTAAAAAGACTATTCTTATCATAAATCTTATTTTGTTTCCAGTTCTGATAGCTCTCAAGCTATTATTTTAAATTTCAAATTTACAGGAAATAAATTCTTTTCCCACGGCAAAAAAATTTGAAATTTGAAAGTGATGGCTGAGTGCCTGGGGTTCCTGGTGGACTTTCCAGCTATTCAGTGGCTTCCTGTGCTGTGCTGTCTCCAAGAGGGGTGGGGAGGGTCCCCGTGCAGTCTGAGGCTGGAGCTGGCCCTTGGGACCGAGGGCAGAGTTAGCAGCATTGTTCTCCGGAGGCCTGCAGGGACCTGTGAGAGACCGTGTTTTGTGGGGTGTTGATACAGAGGATTGAACTGAGGGTCTGCATACTGAGCTATGTTCCCAGTTCCTTTTTTATTTTTTATTTTGAGCCAGGGCCTCAGCACACCACTAAATTGCCCAGGCTGGTCTTGAACTTTCGATCTTCCTGCCTCAGCCTGGGAATGTTAGCTCTCTGTTCACACCGGAACTGCATAGATAGTGGCTGACATGAATTCTCAGATGAAGAGCTGGTAGCTTCAAAGACTTACTACTCTTTTTCCAGGAAGAATAATTCTCAGGCTCATAGTTTGAAACTATTAGCATTGAGTGTTTCAATTGTTTTTTGAGACAAAGTCTCAGGAGGTAGTTCAAGTGGCCTTGAACTCACTCCATAGTCCGGCTGGTCTTGGTCCTCCTGCCTCAGCCTCCTGAATGCTGGGATGGCAGGCAGTGGAATTGATATAGGGGAATGAGACTCCCAACCTACTATGTCTGTGAGTTCCTGTTCTCTAAAACCAAAGAATGAATTTTAGGAACAACAGAGGTGAAGAATAGAATATATTTATTGAGAGAAAGAAAGCTTCCATCTGAACAGAGACAGAAGGGGTCCTGAGCAGGTTATCAAGGACTCTTGTCTTTTTCAGGGATTTTTATAGAGTAAAACCATGGGTTTAAGGTGGGGTGGAGGGGAACAATTGGGAAGTCATAAGCAGATGGGCATAAGGTGGGGCATAACTATAGTTAGCCAATAAGATCAATAGTTCAGGTAAAATTGATTACATTAGGGACAAATGGGAAAGCAAGTCACATAGGAAGCGGGCATTCTTAGAGAGCAGTGACTCTCCCCTAGGGATTGGAATGGTGACTCCTGACTTCAAAGTGATCCAGATTTAATCCCTAAGGATTATATGTAAGGGTGTGGTTGCATTTGTTTTGCTTTCTGTCTTGAGATCTGGCCCACAGCAAGAGGTGTGTGTAGCCTCCAAGGTCATCAGATATCTGGTCCTCTGTGCCTGCTTCCTCTAGGGCCTGGCCCTGCCTACCTGCCTATGATATTCCTAACTGGCTCCGCTGCGTGTAACAGGCCTGTGCTGTCCCAGTGAGCATAGGAGCTGAGTGCCACGTCAAAAGTACGCCCTGCCCAAAAGCAGCTCTCCAATGGGGCTTTTATTCCTGCTTTCAAAAATAATAACTGAGGACAATTCTGTAGTCATCTCTCATGCAGTGGAGAATCAAAGCCTCATTCTTCTGGCCCTGACAAAGAAGGGGCCCATTCATGGGCTGGAGAAAACCCTCCCCTGGAGTTGGTCTGAGAGCCCCCGAGTTTTCTACCCGGATTCCAGGGAGTTGTGTTGTTTTCAATTTGTCCCTTGAAAAGGAGACCGTTGGAAGACAAGCCTGAAACAAGGCACTGGTGCTTAAGACTATTTTGGAGGGAAATGAATGGAGAACTATGTGCTAATGATATAGGGGAATAATATATTATATGTCTGGAACAAGGTCGTGTTCTCTGAAATCCAAGAATGAATTTCAGGAACGATGGAGGTCAAGAGCAGAAATATTTATTGAGAGAAAAAAAGCTTCTGTCTGAGAGAGGCAGATGAGGTCCTGAGTGGGTTGCCAAAGATTCTGTATTTTCTTAGGATTTTTATAGAGTAAAATCATGAGGTGAGGTGGGTCTAAACTGGAACTCTTATGTTTAGCCAATAACATTAATAGCTCAAGTAAAGTTGATTAAATTGGGAACAAATCAGGAGGCAAGTCCTGTAGAAGCGGGCATTCTTAAAGATCAGTGACTTCTCCTATAGGGGATTGGGATGGCGACTCTTGGTTTCTCAAAGTGAACCAGATTTAATCCCTAAGGATTATATTTAAGGTGTGGTTGCATTTGTTTTGCCTTCTGTCTTGAGATCTGGCCTATAGCAAGAGGCGTGTGTCCTCCAAAGTCACCAGACATCTGGTCCTCTGTGTTGGCTTCTTCAAGGGCCTAGCCCTGTCTGACTGCCTATGATTTTTCTAATTAGCTCAGTAGCCTGTAACACTAAGGATCCCATTGCCATCAATATGTGTTACATAAAAAATCACTTAGGAGCTTTGTGAAAATAAGTCTTATGCACCTATTTTTTCTTTTTTTCAAAGATAGGGTGTTGCCATGTGGTCCAGGCTGGCCTAGAACTCATGGTGATCCTCCTGTCTCAGCCACTCAGTGCTAGGTGAAAGAGTTTTAAGTGCAGTTAGAAGACAGAATATACAATAAAGTGGCCTTTATTTTAAGAATGCAGAGAGACACTCCATCACCTCCAGGGTCTGGCTTTCTCTCTGCCAAACACGTGGTGTGGGGGC